CACCCTGGGCCTCCATCAGCCCTGGCCCCAGGCATCAACGCAGGCCCTGTGCTGATGCCTGTCCCCCCCCACTCACTGCTTCTCACGGCCACCATCTCTACCCGCTGGCCCACCAGCCCCATGTGCCAGCCTAGGCACTGGCACTCCTGCTGTCCCACTCTGGGGATGGGCCCCGGCTGACCCTGGCCCCAGGCCCCACACTCCTGCTGCCCCACCCTGGGTGCAGGCCCCTGCTGGTCCTGGCCCTGGGCACCAGCACCGGCCCTGCACTCCTTGCTGCCGCTGCTGCTTCAGCTGATGAACTCAGGTGGTAGAGCATCCCACACGAGCGGGGTGGATGTTTGCAGCAGGCCGGGAGCAGGACAGTTTGCAGCATCCCTGCTACTTTGCCTGGCCAGGTTTAAACCCACTCTGCTTCCGGCCGGCTGTAAAAGCACCACCCCCTCCCATGGGATGCTCTACCGCCCCACCAGTCTGTATTTAGCAGCCATGCCTGGCTTCTTCCCACCCCCATGCTCACGCCCTGCACTCACTGCCGCTCACTGCACTTGCTGCTGCCACCGCCACCACTGCTTCTCCCTGCCTTCCCACCGAAACTTGCTGATTCCACTGAGCACTATAGCAAAACTCGCTGAGCACTCAGAGGAACCAGGTATCAATTTTAAATGAGCGCTATAGCGAAATAGCACTAATTGGTACCATGTTAAGCGAGCGCTGCCTGTATTAGGATGTTTGGACTTCCTGGATAATTGGGCATTAATTCATTTAAATCATGGTGCAGTACATTAGCTTCTATGGATCTGGAACTGTGCCTTGGTTCCCCTGTTAGTAAGTGTTTACAGTAATTTTTTGCTGCCAGAGAATATAGTAAGAATGTACTCATTAATATCTACATAGCTTCTTGAGTGCTTTGGATGGAATGTGCTGTAAAAGTGCAAAATACTGTTACTGTTGTTTTAAATAGCATAATAATAGCATCGTCTAATCTCATCATTGTCTAGGCAATCCTAGCCCCTTTATAGCAAAATCTCCATTGATTTTGCTCTTTAGACTTTGATTTACTCCTACGGCTTCCATGGGCTAGAATTTTGCTTGTTCAAATTAATGTGCAACCTGATTCTTAATTCCTTGGGTGCCAAAAACTTAACTGATGTTACTGGGAATTTTGAATATGCAAGAAATGCAGGATCAGGCTGACAACTTGTAAGCCCCATGGGGGTTGGTCCTTGTATTGCTATGCATGCACAAGCTTGAAAGACCTACATGATTATCTCTATAAAAGCATAAAAGGAAAAGAAGTGTCAAAAATGAATCTCCTTCAAATGCCAAAGGATGGCTCCCAGCCAGATAAAGGATATTTCAGATAGTATATTTTACAGTAAATACATATGTAATGGCATACATGTAGTATGATTTGTCTTAAGTATTTTGTAAATGTTTCCCTTTTTTTTCAACATTATAAAATAACATTGGCCTATTTTATCAGACTTTAAGAAAAAGTACATTTTCTTTTCTTTTAGGTAAACTTTTTTTTCCTGTTGAATATTGTGCGAGTTCTTATAACAAAGCTAAAAGTTACACACCAGGCAGAATCTAATCTGTATATGAAAGCTGTGAGAGCTACCCTGATTTTAGTGCCACTTCTTGGCATTGAATTTGTGCTGATTCCATGGCGACCAGAAGGACGTATTGCTGAAGAAGTATATGACTATGTGATGCATATCCTCATGCATTATCAGGTAGGAAGCTTTTAGTAATACTTGTCACTTATCCTAAAGAGTAGTGGAGATGTGAATGGGAGCTTTAAAGATAACCGCAATTTTATTATCTCAATGTATTTAACAACTGTGTAAATTATTTGTTTGTTACATTTCATTTAAACTAACTCTTTAAAACCGGGGTGTCAAATTCACCTTGCTCCCAGGCAAGATCCAGACCATAGGGCTCTTTGAGCCAGATTTGGACCTGGTGGTGGTGGGGCAAGCAGAGCAGACAGCATGGTTGTGTCAACACAACCCTCTCTCACCCTCCTGTTACCCATAGCCATAGCTGTTCCCAATGGAGCTGTGTAGCTCTGGATTCTGTGGCAGGCCCGACCCCCTGCTCGCCTCAGCCCTGAATTGCCTGGCTTACCAGAGCTCTGCAGTCCAGAGGGAACAGTTCTTTGGGCTGGATCCGACCCATGAGTCATATGCTTGATGGCCCTATTTAGAAGAAATAACATGTCACATTAAATGCCTGGCCAAATGACTACTGATTGAGTTTTCATTTGCAATCCATTTTCTCCTTTGCTAGTTGCATATTAATTAGGAATTTTAAATATTTTTATAGCTCAAAATATCTGTAGGCACCAAAACTTTCTGTTTGTTTGTTTTGCAGGGTCTGTTGGTGGCTACAATTTTCTGCTTTTTCAACGGAGAGGTATCGTAGCTGATTTAAATATATTTCTTGTTCATTTCACTTTTCAAGTTTTTATTTCAGTTTTTTTAAAAAGCTATTTATGATCCCAATGACAAATGTAAAGTTATAAATGAGACTTAAAAGAAATATGTAAATGACAAGTAAGAGAATGGTATTTGAGCATCCGTTTTCTGACAAGCGCTTAATTAAGGTAAGGCATTTCCTCTAATATAGTTCATGGCATTACAAGTACTGAAGGGCCCATTTCTGCTAGAAGCTAAGTAGGTGCCAAGTAGCTTCAGCCTTTATTTCAGAATTAAGGCAAAACACAAAGCATTCTGCAGATTTTTTGTATGAAAAAGATCATATGAAAATATCATATTCAAACTTGGCAGAAATGATTCTAGAAAATAAGCACTTAAGCGTCCTCACTGTGGCAGCCTCAGTCCCAGTAAGACAGAATTGATTCTTCCAGGTTAAGGGCAAGGCACAGTGAAGGAACACCTTTAACTTCCTCTACTATAATATATCATCTCCAGCTTCTGGGTCTTTTAATCTGGTAACTCCATGAATACTGACCCCTGCTATAAAATGAGGAGGTGAGGGGGAATCACCTGTTTTAGTTTGGATTTTTTAAATCTTTAAGATAAGCTTATGCTTTAGAATTGTTTTTTTTTTTTAATTATAAAGGCAAAATGACTATCTTAGGGCAAGGCCTTAAAGCTTCATAGATTTACATTACTAAACAATTATCTTCATCGCAGTGCAACCTCATTGTTCTTAGAATCCTGTCTAGTAGAATCAGTGAAGGAATGGCCTGAATCCTACAAATACCGATACATATAAAAACAGCAAATACTGTTCACATACACTCATTGATATTGCTGCCACTTGGGGGAGGAGCAGAAGCAGCAAAATTCTGTTAATATAAGAACTGAGTAAAGTTTATTTCCAAACTGGAACAAAATTAAATGGGCATGAAACTTTCTCAATAAACTGTCTGTTATTTTTCAGAACTGTTGGGATATTTTCAATGAAGTTAAATTGTATGCTGTTTTGTTCAATACCATTTTGTTCAAACTAAAATATTTACAGCTTTTAATGAAAACTCTGAGGTTGAAGGTAAAATGAAAAGGGAGACTTTTTCACTGGAAACGGACTGATGGTTAGGTCCTTGTGTTGAGACAAGAAGAGACCTACATTCACATCCTTCTCCTCTTCCTGATTCAGTGCAGCGTGCTTCATTGCAAATGACTCTGACTGCAGTTGTATCACTTTTCCCCTCCCCAGGGTGGTGCCTTAAGCACCACACCCCACACATCCTTGTCTCCTCAAATCAAAAGCTTGAGATTTCACTCTGAAAATGGATGTTTGAGCATAATTCTATTTTTACAAAACAAACCTTGAAACCTCAAAAGTTGCTGAAAAACAGAACTGTCCTCCTTTGGTCAGCTCTACTTACTTTTAATTTGTTTGCATCCCTTCAGGATATGACTGTTCCACTTCAAAATGAAATCAAACTTACTTTTGGTTTTAAATTGAAAACTCATTAAATTGAAAACTTATTATCCTTAGTGCAATTGGCTGTTTATTCTACTAGGATACTGTTATTATACATTCTTGGACTTGTTTTGGCCAGATTATCTTCTGAGCCACAGCTATGGTCAATATATATCAGGAACCTGAGCAGATTCCAGTTGCACCACTAAATGTAGCAGACTCACTGGGTCTTATACCACTAGAAGGTCAGTGTAACAAGGATTAGTTCTGCTACCATCCCTACAAATAGATGTGTTAGGGCTATTAGTTTCCATCTAACAGGGAATTTTCTTGCACACCTTTTGCACACCTGAGTGGGATAAATGGGCTACTGAATACAGCATTTCAGTTATGTTCTCTTTTTCTTTTTGAATAGCCCTGTGCAGATTCCTGTATTTTAAACATTTTCTTCTATCATCTTCAGTTCTTCCAACAGTGCTGCTGTTTTTATTTTATGCCTGGCTGTAAAAGGAGTTCATCTCTTTATAAATAACTTAATACTGAGCTATAAAGAGTCAAAGGAGAGAATGGCATGTTTACACACAAGCCTACACTGAAGAAAGCATTTCCTACATCATAATTGATTCTGCTGCTGGCATAAATCATAATATATGGCCATTAAGGCCCTCTGTTAAAGTAGTCTTCAGCTATTGTATTTCCATTTTATATAAGGTGTGTTTTGCTGCCACTTGGCATAGCAATATCTTGTTATAATTTAGGAATCCAAGGCTACAAATAGATGTCATCAAATGGACATATCAGCTGTGCTGGGATGTGCCCTGCCACAGCTGATGTGCTTTATTGGATGAAACATATGTTGCCCATTGTCCTTCTCATTGATCTTATGGGGCAACAGGCCATATCTGGAGAAGAGAAGACAAAGGGAATTTATAGCAGCCTTCAGAGGAAGAAGCTAGACTGTTCTCAGTGGTGGCAGATGACAGAACAAGGAGCAATGGTCTCAAGTCACAGCAAGAGAACTTTAGGTTAGATATTAGGAAAACCTTTCTGACAAGGAGGATGATAAAGCACTAGAACAGGTTACCCAGAGAGGTTATGGAACTGCCATCCTTGCAAGTTTTAAAGAGCTAGACAAAGCCTTGGCTAGGATGATCTAGTTGGCGATGGTCCTACTTTGAGCTTGGGATTGCACTAGATGCCCCCTTGAGGTTCCTCCCAACCCTAATTTTCTATGATTCTATGAATGTATTTTTCCAGGGCTTGAAGAGCCTGTTCCTGTGCAGGATCTGGCCCCTTATGCCCTGGGAGCGCCTGCCCATTTTTCCCTCCTTACAGAGATGAGCCCCAGGGCATGTGTTTGTAAGAGGGGAAAGCCAGGGTTTCCCACTTGCAGATATGTGGGGACCTGTCTCTGTAACAGGGGAAACCCTGGCTTTTCCCATTTATAGAGATGCACCCAGAGATTCCCCAGGGTATGTTTCTGTAAGCAGTGAAAGCTGGGCACCCACTCCAGGGCTTGAAGTGTCTGATCCTGC